CCAGCCCCCTTCAATAAGCATCCCACTCCAGACCGAGGCGGCATGCTCACAGATCACTGCTCCTTAGACGGAACATTGGCTACCGGCAAATCTACAGGAGATGCATCTTTTTAGAAAACACGTGTATGGGAAACTCAGGAGAAGGAAAAGACTAGGACTGAATCTTTAACATTCCATAAAATCATAATGACAAGCCTTTTACACTAGTGAAGTTTGTCATTAGTTTTTGGATCTCTTCCAAGGAGCTCAGAATGGAACTGATAAAATAGCAAAGAATATTATATAGAAGTGTATATGTATATATACAAACACACACAGAGCTTTTTTTTACTCCACATCCACTGTCAAAAAAGAACAAGTTACAGGGGAAAAAAAAATCACTGCTTATTGTTTTTTAAGTACTGTGTTAGACATTATAAGAAGTGGAGTTTAAGTAGCAACCCCTGCCCATTCTTCTCCAAAACGAATTTGTCTTCAACAGATCACAGAACTGTAGGGTGAACTGCAAAACACATATACAAATTTTGTTACAGAGCACGTTTCTTTTTGTCACTATTCCAAATTCATCACATTTACCTGCCGGTAAGTATTTCAGCTGGTTGTTAGCCAATCGAAGGTGACGTAAGGATCTCAGACGGCCAATCTCAGGGCATACGATTTCCAGAGCGTTGTCACTTAAGTCCAGGAACTGCAGCTTAACCAGGGAGCCAATGGCTTATGAAAGAACAGATTAAAGAAATGAATGTGACCCAGAAGTAATGTTAAAACCATAATAGGACTATGGATGATAAAAGGCCTCAATATCTAATAACAATGTCTGAGCAGATTGAGAGATATTAAAACTATTGGGCTCATAACTGAATGTCACTGGAGTTCAAGTGTTTGTAAACAGTATGCAATATCGTTGGCACACGGAAAAACAGAAAAAAACAAATCACTTTTGAGATGCCACAGATGATTATTTTGTTCTCAGCCACAACTCTCCTGTGAAACTACTTTCTCCTTCCCTTTGCCATTACCTACATCCAAGCTAGTTGCCCTGACTAAATTTAAAATTATTTTCTAACACTGGTCCCTAGACATTTGCTCTCAAAGGCAATGTAAGGAACAGAGAGGCTAATACAATTACTGACAGATTCAGTTTAAATCCTATCACAACCAACCAAAGCAATGGCATCATATGCGATGGCTGGCTCAGAGAGAAGGACAGACTTGGGAAGGCTGTTTTATCGATAAGTGCCATTTAGCCTTTCTACCTCCTGTAATTAGAACTCATGGGACCAACATATAAGTGCATTTGAAAATTTAACAAAATGTAGTTCAAATACAGATGTTATCAACAGTTTACGCCCATGGTGGTATATTTTGGAAAACAAGGAGAAATAGGACTTATATTATAGAGTATAATAAATATTTTATGTTTTCTGTCTACAACTGTGAAGTTGGCATTGTACTTACCTTCAGGTACAACAACTATGTTATTCGAATGAAGGTACCTGTGAGGGGAAAAAAAGGTGGGGAAAAACACCTGTTACCCTGAAGGGTTTGCAATGCATAAATAGTTGGCAAAACACTCAACCTGAAATTGGAAAAGAAAAACAGCCTCACAGCCATTTCTCTCTAAGACCACAACAGTATATGGTAAACTGTACAAAACACCATCTGAAACGTTCCAAGGTTCCTCTTACATTTTATCATGAATATAAGATTAGTATAAAGAATGCAAGGACGATTTATTACTATTATAACACTTAAATGCAATGCCTGTGAGCACATTTTCTCACTTTATAACGAAGAAAAAAAATCATAAATTTGAAAAATAAAGCAAATGGAGTCACCAGGATTCACTGTGTTCTGTCACAGACCCTCTCCCATTAAACAAAAGTAACAACAAACAAAAAAAATCCCTAAATCAAGTACATACATCTTGATGTACATACAATTCTTATACCTTCACTTGATAAATATGAAGCCCTTACCTATCGAGATGATAACTTTTTTAAAAAATGTAGAACTAAATTAAATTTTAGAAAAATATAATTTTGGTCTCAGACAGTGACAAGTCTAGACAGGCTCCATTACCTCTTTAAAAGAGGTTGATTAAATGTATTTAGCACTCCCTAGTGGGTAATAGCTGCATCTACTACTATTTAAGAACAATTTATTTCATATAGTTTGAACAGTGTATTTTGCATTGCAGACAAAAAAGACTACATAAACCTTTTGAAAAGGCAGTTACTTTCTCTAATCTCAAAACAATACTTACTGTGCACTCCACTAACTCTCTAAAATAATGCATCTGCATTTAAAGTAACAAGTCAGCACTTTAGGGACCAATATAGTGACAAACTACTCGTTTAAAATTAAACCCGGGTATTTTATGGTATCTTTTTAATTATTTTTCTTTACCATCAAACCAACTCTCTCTCTTGGATTAAATTGAGTGTTGTATTATATAAGTTATAGAACAGTAAAATGCACACTATAATAAAAGAACAGCAAGCTGAACTGAATAAGCTCTGTTTTACTATTTATAGCTTCTTAAATTCATCTATTCTAAACTTGAATTTCATACTGGTTTTTCTAATGTTACATGGTAATAGTGAACGTATCTGATTGTTGAATATGAAGCACTAAGTGAATCAACTACAACAGAGGTGTTCTGCTGCTTCAGAGTATAGATAAGAACCTTAAATGCCAGGCAAAACTATTCGGTAAGTAAGTAGGAGCCTGCACTGAGTTAGAAAACACGCTGTAGACATGAGTGCTGGAAAGGTGCAGTTTTCAAGGCCAAAGTCAGAAGATGAACTCAGATAATACATTATTCTTCTAGGACACCCAATACTTCCCTTACATCTGCTTTAACAAGATGTTAAACACTATACTGCAGGGCTGTCCAGCTTTGGAGTACATGGGGGTCACACACTGCACAAGCAGTGTGACCCCCACTCCTGGTCCCTGCTAGTGCTGCTACAGAGGCATCACAAGCCCCCCAACCCCACCTCAACCACCACCTCCCCTGACATCCCAGTCACATGGGCTGCAAGTTTAAAGGGCCCCTTTCAGCCAAGCTGCCGTGACCCAGAGACTGTGGGTACCAGAGCAGCAGCCAGAGCAATGGGGAGCACAATGGCGAGATGGGAGCCTACTGAGTGCACCGTGATGCCTATGCCCTCTCTCAGCTTTTTTTTTCCCCATCCTCCTGCCATGCTTGTATGGTCCCTTGGGCTCCTGCTAAGGAAGGGGGAGAACTCACTGGGTAGGAATGTCCCCCCAGCCCCTGTTACTGGAAAGGGGAAAGCTATCTTGGGGACCCCCTTCCTCAGTCTGGTGCAGATCAGGAGCCCACCCCTCCCTGCAGCTTGGCTTTTGCCACGTGGCAAGGGGACCCTTCTCCAGGCCAAACAACCATGAACAAAAGCCATTGATAAACTTGTGACAACTCTTAGCAGTGGATCGCTTGGCTTGTGTGTCGATGAAGAATGCAGCCAGCTGCAAGAATTAATGCGACATGCAGGACACATTGATCACTGACACTTTGAACGTACTTGTGGCCCCTGTTCCTCCTGGGGCTACACCTGTCTGAGCGTCACTTGAAGGTCAACTGTCCTAGCAGTGCTGGGGGTCTGGTGGCACTACCATTCAGTCTCCACTGCTGGTCACAGCTTCCCCGTTTCCCCACAATTTCCCTGTTTCCAATCCTTGGGAAACAGAGGGCCCTGGCCCATGACTCCTTTTATCCCCCTAAGGTCAGACAGTCCTGCTATACTGCATTGATATCACATCTGTAGGAAAGTGAAATGGAAGAGGAAATGTTCCTTTACACTACAGGTCTTTTGCAGGTCAGGAGTTTGGTGCACCATCCTTAACTTAGACATGGGCTATTTTGAGCCTAATTGCTAAAACAATACAACCAAGATGGTGCCACCTTTGAGCTGACTCCTGGCACAAAGCACAGAATATACCCACTTGCTGACTGGAGTGAAACGCTGGCATTCCCACCAAACATAATCTGAAGAAAAAAAAGATGTCATAGAAAACACTGACAACCTGGGACTGAGCGTAGCTGCATGCCAAGCACCTCCTTTTGTCAACAAGGGGAAAGAAATACTACACACTAAAAATGGAAATTATATACAAACACTGCATCTCTGCTTTAAAAAGCAATATGAGATTGATTAGTGTAAGCAAACTTGTCAAAGCTCCAACAAAAACTCACAGTTCCACGAGGTTTGGAAGCTTCTGTGCGAGGTTTTCTGGCTGAAAGAAAGAGTTAGAGACATGTTAGGATTTAAAAAAGAACAAACATATTATGGGCCCAAATCATTTTAGTGACCACCCCAACAAGCTACATCACAAGTGGGTTATTACAAAAGAAAACATCTGAATGCTGTATTGGGCTCACAGCTAAAGGTTCCCAGGATATAATTCCTTCATTTTCCCAGTTACCCCATTAACTCTACCAGTCCTACCTGGGTGGCATTACATTTGAAGAATCCCGCAAGGAAAATTAAGCATAGCGAAATCTGGTTAACTGTGATAACTCATTGCTACAATCTTATAATTTGGTGTCCTGAATCCCTGAGACAATCCCACTGATTTGTACACAACACACTCTGGATAATGCATCCTCTGTTAAAGCAGAACTAGTCATTTCCAAATGCGCCCACATAGTAAATCAGAATAAAATTTGCTCCTGAGACTCGGAGAGCTCAGAAGGTACTGATCTATGCCAAACGCAGCACCTGTCAAACCAGATTTTGCTCAAAAGGCATTAAATACACTTTGGCTTTTCCTGGCTCCCCAGGTCATAACCACCAATCACTCCATCTCCTAGAATTACCTTGTTTTGACAATGACTGCATGCAAGACTGCAGAACAAAAATCCTTGATTGATTATTTTTCTCCCTCCTAATTGTGGAATTCTTATCTATATTATTGTTATATATAATTCTTATTCTTCAGAGCACTAAGCTTCTGTAACAAGAAACTGTACATTAAGCAATTATCTGTATAATCATGCTGCTCTTGTATACAAGGCCCTACTTAATTCCCAGTTTTGGGGATTTCATGGAAACTGCAAAATTCACAAAAATCAACCAAAAATAAAAACTTGTTAAAAATAAAATGCTGGCTCCCCAATGGGAGCCAGCAGTCCTCAGTGCCAGGAGCAGAAGGCGCCAGCTGGAAGGGTGGAATGAAGGGCAGTAGAAAAGATGGCGGCTGCCCTTTTATCCTCCTCCCCCCCCAACCGTGCCCCCACTGGGACTGCTCCACCAAGCAGCACCCACAGGTGGGGTGACATGAATGGCAGCTGGCAGCCAAAATAGCAGCCACCTCCTTGTCCCTTATCTTCCCCACGGCCTTTCCATCAATCAGCAGAGGGGCGGGGCCTCTTTGCCAATCAGAGCTGAGGGGCGGGGCCACTGTGAAATGGTGGTGGAATTAGAACTTTACAACACGATCAACCCGAGAAAACCAGTAAGTCCCCACCGTGATTCAGGCAGACCCCACTCCGAGAGTGAACTGCGGCAGGGGTGGGCAATTATTTGGGCTGGAGGGCCACTTAGGGAGTTTGGGTGAGCTGTTGCAGGCCTGGTCAGCACCTCCCCCTGCCCCATCTCCCCACAACATCTCACCAAAACTCCTTAAGTGGCTCTGCCCCACAGGGCCCAGCCCCGTGCTGTCACTGCCCAGCTATCCCAACCCTGGCCCTAGGGTCTCTACTGAGATTGGTCTGAGACCCCCGCAGGTAAGGGGCACTCAGCTGGGTGGACAGGATGGGTGCAGTCTGCTCCCAGCACACCCCTGTCACAGGGATATGCAGATAGCATCTCGTGACTCTGCCCCAGGCCCCAGCCCCACGCTGTTACCACCCCAAGATCCCAGCTCCAGTCCCACCTGCCCATCCTGCTCTTGGATGCCACTCCCTGGCTGCCCACAGCCCCATCACATCCATCTGGCAGAGCACACCCTGCCCACAGGGGACCCACGCCAGTCTCCACCAAGACCCTGCCCCCCCACAATCCGCTCTGTCCAGCACCCTGGCGGCAGGTGCGAGGTGGACAGGCTGGGGTGCCTAGGCAGCAGGGCCAGGTCTGGCAGCAGTGATGACACTAGTGATGGTGGCCCAAAGGAGCCGCTACCACCAAGACTGCTGGGAAGGGGGGACCTAGCTGTACCACCACCCCAGCCCCACTGCAAGCCCGGGGGCAGTAGAATCAGACACAGGCACCACAGCACAGGTTGCCCTCCACACCTAGGCTGGGCAGGGCTGAGGGACCCACTGCAGGATGGAAAAAATCCCTTGGAGGGCTGGATCTGGCCTACAAGCCATATTTTGCCCACCCTTCAGCTACAGTGAGTCTAATTTGTAGTCCACATTCTGTAATATATCTTTTTCTTCACTCTAAACATCACAGAGATGTAATGAAGAATGATTTGTATATCTTGCATGCCACATAGCTCACAAAAAGTTGAAAATGGCTATGATAATTAGTTAGTTATAGTTAATTATCACTCCCCTGATTTTACTGCATAACTGTACTTTTAACTAAACTAATGGAAATCAGCACCACTCAGCTTTGGAGACAGAACAATGAAAGAGAGCGCACTCATATCATTCTTTTATAGCCTAAAAGTGCCTATAAAGCAACTGGCATCCAAGTCTTCCAAAGCTGATGGAGGCACTACCAAGACCTTGCTCTTCAAAAGAGGTTTAAAGCAAAGGACCTAGAGTCGAGAAGCTCTGGGTTGTTAAAAAGAACCCGGAAATAAACTGCTTACTCATTTAACATGCCAGTAAAAAGGAAGGGGGGTATCCAAGTCTGCCACCTAAATAAGATATATTTTACTTGATTATATTGGTAGTTAGGAAGGCATGACTTAAAAATCATCTGCAGTTAATTCAATCACCAAACCCAACAATCAGATTTCCTTATGCACATGTGAATATATATGCCTATTTTCTACATCGTGACACACCCGGCTTGCATGTCGACATTTGAATAGCTCTCACAAATGCAAACATCAACTAGGGAAAATGTTGAATGTTATGCTAGTAGCCATGTCAAAAAATGGCACGCGAGGTTATGGAGGTTTGATTATTTAGGGAATTTACTTTAAATTTTAATGACTGAATTTACTTTTTAAAATCCCAATTTCAACAGTATGGGATGCACACAGCATGCAGAACCTGGAAATGAATTTAATAAAGAACCAACACAGTCTGACAAAATAATCAGTTTCATATCTATATTCTGGTCACTCTGAGTCTTCATCTAAATTTATACAACAGTTCTTCCTAAAATGCTCTTTCTATTAATATATTTCTCCACCATATTATAATATATAGTATTAGAAAGACATATGCATATATATGCTTTTCATACACAACAAAGATACTGCACCCCTGATTTAAGAATGATAGGTAACTCAAGCTTAACCAATAGGCAGCAACTGCTACCTTCATAATAAATGAGTCTATCTTTGAAATGTGAGAGACAGACGAGTCTCAGAAGAAAACAGGAGATAGTTAATCAGCTGTTGCCACCTGCTGGAAAATTTGTGTTGTAGTACATTTATTTTCCTCTAATATGCACGGATCTCGCTAATATAATAATGTGATCTTTGCATAAGGCTCTCTCTTGCTTTTTGCTTAACACTGAACAAACGCACACATACAGTAACTAGCCTGAAATTTAAGAACTCACCTTTTTTTCAGATTCTTTTCCTTAAAGTTAATTTAGCCTAATTACAGATCAATGTTTATTAATTATTGACCAAAATTCTTTATTTGGCTAACAAATAATACACAGAATAGGCACAGCAGAACGATTTTCACAACAGTTTAGAAGTAAAATTATCTAACAAGGTCAAATTCAGGATTGAAGTCATGAAAGTGTGTTCACAACAGCATTCTTACATGTATAAGACAGTAAGAGTACTGTATATGAGAATGGCAGATGATTACTCTGTCTTCAAACAAATTTAAACTTATCATTGCTCAACTTATTCTTTACTGCTTATACATTCTGAAATTTAAAAAAATTAAATAGAAAAGAAGAAGATTGTGATATTTTATCTTTTTGGAGGCAGTGAATGGGGGAATGTAAGGTTGAAATGTGGTACTGCTAGGTGAAAGGCAGCACGGCAGGAGCAGTTATAGAATCATAGAAAATGAGGGCTGCAAGGGACCTTAGGAGGTCACATCTAATCCAGCCCCGTGCTCAAAGCAAGACCACTCCCAACTGGATCATCTCAGCAAAGGTTTTGTCTAGCTGGGTCTTAAAAATCCTCCACGGATGGCATCCACAACCTCTCTGGATAACTTGTTCCAGTGTTTTACTACCCTCCTAGTGAGAAAAGTCCTCCTAATATCTAAGCTAAACTTCCCTTGCTGCAACTAGAGACTGTTACTCCTTGATCTGTCATCTGCCACCACTGAGAACAGTCCAGCTCCATCCTCTTTTGGACCCCGCTTCAGGTAGTTGAAGGCTACTGTTCAATCCCCCCCTCAGTCTTCTCTTCCCTAGATTAAGTAAGTCCAGTTCCCCCAGTCTTTCCTCACAAGTCACGTGCTCCAGCCCCTGAACCATTTTTGCTCCCCTTCACTGGAGTCTCTCCAGTTTGTCCACACCTTTCTGTAAAGGGGGCCCAAAACTGAACACAGGACTCCAGATGTGACCTCACCACTGCTAAAGAGAGGAATAATCACTTCTCTCAGTTTGCTGGCAACGCTCCTACCAATGCAGCCCAGGATGCCGTTAGCCTTCTTGGCAACAAGGACACACTGCTGGCTTCAAACCATAGAATCAATCAGCGGGAAAGGACCTAGACAGATCATCGAGTCTGACCCCCTGCCTGGGGAAGGAAAGAGCACTGGGGGTGGGACGGGTCATAAGACCCCAGCCAGGTA